GCTGCGGCTGCTGCTGCGGCTGCTGCTGCGGCTGCTGCTGCGGCTGCTGCTGCGGCTGCTGCTGCGGCTGCGGCTGCTGCGGCTGCGGCTGCTGCTGCTGCTGCTGCTGCTGCTGCGGCGGCGGCGGCGGCGGCGGCGGCGGCTGCTGCTGCTGCTGCTGCTGCTGCTGCTGCGATGTGGTGGCAACATACCCCGAGATGTGAAGGAACATCCAGACTGGGCGACCCGCCGAAGAAATCGCACACGAAACACATTGACATCTAAACACCAGGTATCTGTTCGGATGCAAGAACTGGAATCAAGACCGATCAAACTACGAGATGCCATGGCCCCCGAACGAAGAATCGAAGAATCGACACCAGCATGGCACATGTTGTGGAGAAACTGTGTAACAAATGAGATCGAAGATGTTCAAGGTCGCTCCGTAGCCGACCATCTTTTTTCGCTTGCCGATGGATGAAACACTCCGAATTTGTGGGAGAGGCTTGGTTTCTTAAAAGATTCTCCCAACCGTGGTTTCACCCTATAGAAACATGGAGCTGTAAATGCTCAACAACGGGACCATATTGAATCCTGTTCATGTTTGCTCCGATCACGGCAGGGCCGTTGGGAATCCACGAGAGGCGTGGCTTGTGCGAAAGCGCGAAACCCAAACACTCGAGGCTTTGTTCGCGGCGCGACCTGCAGCTACATGGAGAAGACAAAACCTGGGTCGCCCGCGATGACACTGGAGAAAAAGAGACGTTGCAACATGTTACAACAACCAATATTTTCATCAACCAGGCTCCCAGGAAATGACCAAACAGGAAGCGATTTGGCGAACATGTTCGATGCGCTGGGATATGACCTCTCTTGTGTATCTATGTGTCTCGTAGCTGGCGTGCGATGTTCCGGGCTTCCGCCGGGCTGATGACCGATTTCTAGCCTTCCCAGGAACACTGCCATGGTGTTTTCCGTGTCCTTCTCGGTACCATTTCAATCCATTTCAACACTTAGGTGGTCTCAAGAATTTGCTAGCAGACTTCCAACTCCCCCATATGGAAGAGGTTGAAATCGTACCATCCATTGTCATGGGGGTTTTCTTCATCCGCTTGGTGCGGATCGAACGCTCGACAACGACGGAACGGCCGAGACACCGCGCGACACCGCGGAGCACGCGAAGAAATCGCCCCATGCACCGAGGCACGTTACCAGAGAGCGACCCAAGTTCACTACCGTATCCTGGCAGAAGTGAAAGACACAAAAAAGGTAGTCCTGGCATAGAAGTCACTTTGTATCTGGTAACAAATGATCACAGAAGTGGAAGACACAAATATTATCAAATATTACATGGGGATGGATTGTTCATGGTTGCTCAACCATGTGAGCCCGACCAGTTCATACCAGTCCACCTTTTGCCGCGAACCACCACCTACGGTAGGTTGTGCCAGGTCGGTCAAGACCTCCCAGTGCCATGACCGGTGAAGGACTGGGGCGAACCGGCCAACCAAGGTCGTGTTCTATGAGCATTTAGGCCACCCACTCACGGCCGCCAATGCATGCCATTGACACATAAGATGGACACACCCATTGGCACAGAGCCAATTGCCACACCCATGAAGGCGCAATGTGCGCAATCTGCTTCTGCGAAGGCCAGCCATCACTTTGTGGCCGATGTATACCGATGTGGTGCATTATCGTCGTCCAATCTCGTCCCATTCACCCACCCAGCTCGTCCCTCACCGTTCGTGTTTCGGCTCGATTCAGTTATAGGATCTTCAGCTCGTTCTGGGTCGGGTTTCGGTGCATCCACGACATCCCTTGATTGTGTGTGTGACGTGACATCGACCATCTCTTAGAGATCACTTGGAAATTGTTTTAATATCTTGGATAATCTTGGGTCCTTGATCACTTGGGTCCTTGATCACTAAG